TGGAATTACTACGCGTGAGATTACCACGCATGGAATTACTACGCGTGGAATTACTACGCGTGAGATTGCCACGCATGGAATTACTACGCGTGAGATTACCACGCATGGAATTACTACGCGTGGAATTACTACGCGTGAAATTACTACGCGTGGAATTACTACGCGTGGAATTACTACGCATGGAACTACTAAGCGTGGAATTACCATGTGTGGAATTACCTATACGTAGAATTACCACGCGTGGAATTATCTATACATAGAATTACCACGTGTATAATTATCATGCATAAAATCACTACATGTAAGGATTTCCTTGGAATTTTAATTGAAATTTAAATATAGATATTTGTGTCTTTAAATTAAATGCCAATCTGAAAAATTTGGGGATCTATATTTAAAACTTAAACCCACAAAAATATATAAATTAAAAGATTGTAAAGTTTGCGTACACATCGAAAAGCCTACAATACTCCAAACCAACAATTCGATTTCCTAAATTTACGACTGCAAGCAGTATAAATACAGTCCACGACACCATGAAATATTACGAGACAAAGGGTTAACGAGGTACAATTTAGTAAAGTTCTAGCACGAGTTAGAGGTTCGAACCGTTGAAATAGCTATTTTAACGGGACATGGTTTCACCGACGATAATGGACGTGAAAATAATCGATGTTTCGTGACAAGAAAAAAATTCGTTCGCCACGCGCCTCTCACTCGAGAGCGTGTAACCCACGTGCCACAAAGACGTTGGCCACGTCTAAACGCCCACGTTCAAATTTACGGCCCACGTTCCACGATGACGCATCGATATGCATCTTGAAGTCCTGTTTTTACAGACGATCCAGAGGAAACAAACCGTGGCATATTGATGGGCCAGCCGTCTTCGGACGAGGAGACACCGTACGCATCCACGATCTCTCTTTCCATGCTCGATTTAGGTACGAGCCAATTAAATCCACTCCAGTTTTCCTCTCTTCCGCCGAAAACTCTCTCCATTTTGTGCTGCGGTCACGAACGCCCGGTTTAAATCAACCACACGCGTTGTTACGGAAGATTTCATCGACAAACCTTACATCCGTTCTGTTTTATCGGCGGAGAATTTGGTCTACGTATGTGTATTTAGGATTTGAGGATGTGCATGATATTGAAAGAGGGATTTGGAGGGTTGGACGTTTTGAGGGATGTAGAAATTTGTGTGTGTGGAGAGTTGGTGATGTGAGGATTTAGGGTTTGGACATTTTGGGAATCTGGAAATTTGGGGGAGAGAGGAGATGTTGGACATGTGGTGATTTGGGGTTTGGACAGCTGGGGATGTAGAAAGTTAGAGACGTAGTGATTTGAGGTTTGGACATTTGGGGATGTAGAGAGTTGGAGATGTTGTGATTTGATGTTAGGACATTGGGGAGCCTAGAGAGTTGGAGATGTGGGGACTTAAGGTTTGGGGACCTAGAAACTTGAAAATGTGGAGATTTGTAAGTTTGGACATTTTGGAGACCTTGAATCTTGAGGACCTAGAAGGTTGGAAATATGAAGATAGCTGTTTGGAAAATATTGAGACCTCTAAACTTGGGGATCTTGAAACGTGAAGATTTAGAGACGACAAAAGAAGTTAGGAAATTTATTAATCACGAAAATGTAGAGAATTCCTAATATGACACAGTAGAACTTTTAGAAACTTGCTTTACAATTTAAAAAATATATAAATTTGGAACAGCAAATATCTGAAAACTGCACACGTAGCCAAAATTCGGTCTCAAAGAATCACAGTCATGAACCCATGTAATGAACAATATATTAACAAGCACTCCAATAAAAACACCGATAAAAGAGCAAATAAATCCAAAAATATCTATCACGTGATGTAAGTTTCATCGATGAGATCGATTCGAAGATATTCCATGGTATCGCACGAGATGTCATCGTCGAACACTGGGTCTCACCGGAACAGAAGTTGATAGAAAAAAAAGCACGATCGAATTTTTTAAATCGGCCCCCTC